ATATATATATATATATATATATATATATATATATATATATATATAATTTAAAAATCTAATGTTCGGAACTGGACTGCTTTTTAAATGTTGCCATCTACTGGTTAGAATCCAGATCATCTTGCAGATTTTACCCAGACTGGGAGTAATGTTGCTGATGTTAGCATATTGTACATGTTAACACCTGAAAATGTATTTTTTTACACTTTACAGTTTGCATTCGAAAACCCTCCTTTTCTCTATGACCTCATGAAACATTAGATAACCTTTAAAATTAGTAAATAACCAAAGTATTTCTAAGACATTGCATATTTTTTAATATTGATGTAAATTATCTTTATTTATGTAAAAATGTAACAATCTTTATTTAAGGCAAATCCTCTTTTTCAAGGGAGGCCTGTTTCTAAAGGCAGCCTAACATTCATGTTTTGAACTGTGGGAGGAAACCAGAGTATCCAGTAAACACACAGAACGACTCCAGGTTCGACTGGGGATGTAACCCAGGATTTTTTTTTGCTGTGAGGCAACAGCTCTAACCACTAAACCACCGTGCTGCCCTAAGTAACATGTCAGACATTTTGGGATTGTTTAATGTTAAAAACAGGCCAAACACATTTTTCACTCTAACGAGGCTGAGTCAGGTCCTCTGGACGAATTCTTCTTTGTTGAAATGTTTTGTCTTTTATCCAAAAGACTTCTTCAGTCTGAGCTGCAAACAAACAGTTTTATAAACAGCACCTTCTCATAGTGGATCAACAAGTTTGTTAGTGACATCCAAAACTAGTTCACATGTAAAAGGAGGACCATCAGCCAATGGATCGTTAGTGCCCCGATGGCCGCTTGCTATTCACAGAGAACTGAGTGGTACTAGCAATAACAGCATTGTAAGAGGGGGACAGTTGAGGTCTCCACCCTTGTTCAATGATGGATGAGTTCTTTTCACAAAGATGGCCTAATTTCCTGATTCTTTCGTCTGTCTGAGCTTTAAACACCAAGAGCCGGAGCAGATTTTTTATTTATTTTTTTTGTCCCATACAGAACTTGTTGCTCCATCATGGCCGATCAAATTACTTGAAAAGGACGAGAATGTTGGCAGCTACATGGAGGCAATTGGTAAGTGCTGTTGTCATGATAAATTTTGTATTTTTAAGCATTAGGAGTAATTTAAAGAGGCTCTTTGGCAACTAATGGGCATAAGGTAAACTGAAATGAAACAGTGAAAGTGAAACATAAAGTGAAACTGCATTCAGTCATCCAGGTAGATGACAACAAATAAGGTTAAATCATGTCATCTGGACCAGTTTCTTAAAGTGAGAAATGTTTCGTCCCCCATCCAGAGGACTTATTCAGTCTACGGCCTGCCAACCAGATGTGTCCCATAGGTAGCCTTCACTGTTTCAAGCTTAATAAAGTGAAACTGGTTGGCCCACGATGCGATGAAAGTTATTATGTAAAGAAACCAAGTATTACAATGATCTGTTACCTTTTAAATTTGTTTGCTTTATTGCATTGAATCATAAATGCAATCAACAGAACCCAAAACCAAAATCCAGAGCCCCCCCACCAAAATTATTATTATTATTATTATGATTTTTACTGAAGTCATTAGTGGGCCAGGCTGAAGTCACCCGTGGGCTGGAAATGGCCTGCGGGCCACCAGTTGATTAGCCCTGCTATATACTAATGTCATTCTTATAAAAAATGTATTTTGTTGAAGGTATAGACAAGGCTAGAAAGGCACTGAGCAAATTGGCCAAGGCGACGCTGGTGGTAACCATGGCAACTGATGAGGTTATAACGTGAAGGTTAGGAGTTCTCTGAAGAAAGTCATGTGATGTGATGAGACCACAGTAGAAGGTCTTAATGTAAAGATGGGATGTTGTAACTCTTGTGAATTTCTCTGCTTTTCGTTCTGTTTCTCATCCATCTTTGTATTTTAAAAAAAAAAGTCCATCTTCACTCTAGAGGATGGTAAGCATGTGCAGAAGCAGTCATGGAAAGGAAAGACAACAACGCTGGAACGAGAGATTCAAGACGATGGAAAACTTATGGCTGTTGTAACGGACTGCTCAGTTTTTATCTCTTTATGAATGTTACACCTCTTAAACAGTGTGTAACTGTTACTGTGTCTGCCTTTCCCTAAAAACTTTAAATGGACTAATGGACAATCTGATGTCTTGACTCAACAGAAATGTACCATGAACAATGTTGGTGCGACGTGGATGTATGAGAAAATTGTGCAACTCATCGAAGCTGTCACCAAGTCTCTTTGAACCAGTCTAAAACAATAAAAGGTGAAGTGTGGTATTTTGGTCTGTTCACTTGTGGTTCAGAAGACGTGTTTTCATAGTTTTTGAATGTCATACTGCGTGTGCTGACTTCAAAACTTCATGCAATGCTCTGTTTATGCCAGCTAAGATCACGTGCAGAATAATCTCACTCCCCTCCCACCTGAGGGTCATTAGGGAAGAATAGAATGGTAAGTATCTGTACTCTGAGCAATTTAGCTAATATCTACCAAAACACCAATTGCCTGTTTTGGTAATGGCCGCCGTTGCCGCAGTGCATCACAAGCTCACGTGGCATGTACTGTAGCGGTTTATATAACTCTATCAAGCTAAAATATTGTCATTAAAGAAACAACTGGTCTACTGCAGTATCTTTGGCGGCAGTACACAACAGTTTCCCTTTCTTTTCTTTTTTTTTTTTAAACACTGAAAGTATCATTAAAAGAAAATATTTGATGGATATGAGACACAGAATCAAGAAGTGATTCAACAAGTTGAGATTGTATATTGTATATTTACATGAAGAATATTTTAAACATGCAATAAATGAATTTTGCATAATTAATCAGTTTTTAAAAAAAATCACATGTTGGGAACTGAACTGGTTTTCAAATGGTGCCATCTACTGGTTAAGAACCAGATCACCACAGAGAGAAAGATGCAGATTTTACCCAGACTGTGAGGAATGTTGCTGCTGCAATAATATAATGCTAAATGGCCCTTTGAATCAACAAATCGGAAATCTTAAAAAAAAAAAAAAAAAAAAAAAAACAGACAAAAAGTATTTTTGACTGCATTGAATCTTTTTTATGTTAGTTTGTTTTAGAGTGAAATAAACTTTGACTTTCATAAAAATATCAAAATTGGACATTTTCAGATGGTTTTAAATATTAAAAACGGGTCACATGTTTTTTCCACTCCCTTTAAAACTCATGATCAAGGACACGCCCCTAACCCTCTCATTCCCATGGCAACGGCGGGCACCTGCTCCTGATTGGCAGCCTTAATATCTGCACGCGCTGCTGGCTCCAGCTTCAAACGGCTCCTTCTTGTGTGGGAGAGTCAGACGTCGGGCTGGAGCAGGTGTAGTGCGGGTCAGCTTGTTGTTCCATCATGGTCGAGAAGTTTGTCGGAACTTGGAATTTAGTTTCCAGCGAGAACTTCGACGAGTACATGAAGGCGGTCGGTAAGTGCAGTTTTGATGATAAATTACAATTTAGAGCTCCTCTTTGATGACGTTCCGCCGAGGTCGCGTGCTTAAGACTCCTTAATTGTCGCGTTTTTCTGCCCCGGGTTATTTTCCATACATTTCTTGGTATGACAGAAAAATTAGTCTTTCATCTGTTTTTTACTTGGATGGATTTTTGCCGTTTCTCATGAACATGCTGAAAATGGTTAATTTGGGACCTCGTTAATTTAATTTATTTCCATCTAGTATGAGTGTTAGTGCCTATTAAATTATTCTGCTCAATTAAAAATCAATTAATCGTTATTTTACCCAAAGGTTGAATTACTTGAATGTATTTTTTGTAATTCTCTTTAGTTTTTTTTTTCCCCACACAATCTTGTTTTATTTTATGAAACTTAATGTTGTGTAGTGTTTTTAAATAAAAAAATTGCTTAATTACAAACTTATGAATAAATATAAGTACGTTATTGAGGATCTCTTGGTTTGTCCTGGGAAAATTCCTCCAATTCTCAAGAAATCAGGAAGTTATATTTGTTGCAGATAACATTTTTTTTCTTACTTTTATGTTAAAACACTGGGGCATAAATCTCATCCAGTACTGCTATAACGTCACCAATTAAGACCATCTTTTCAGTTTCATTTAAAGCTCTATCCATTGCATGTTAAAAAATAATTCAAATGTCACATTTATTTAAAATAAATAAAAAAAATTGTTATTGAAGGTATGAGCTTTGCCAGTCGGCAAGTGGGCAACTTGGCCAAGCCGAAGCTGGTGGTAAACGTGGGAGCTGACGGGGTTATATCCATGAAGGCTGAGAGCACGCTGAAGACCGCAGAGGTCAAGTTCAAGCTGAATGAAGAGTGCGATGAGACCACAGCAGACGGCCGTAAAGCAAAGGTGGGATGTCGTAAAGTTTTTGAACTCGTCTGCTTTTTATCCTGTTTCTCATCCGTGTTTTTTTTTATTTTAAAGTCTCTCTTCACTCTTGAGAATGGCAAGCTTGTGCAGACGCAGTCATGGGATGGAAAGACGACAACGCTGGAACGGGAGATTCAAGACGATGGAAAACACATGGCTGTTGTGAGTAAATTTACCACTCAATTTTTAGTTCTTTCATAATGCTCAACTCTGTTGGCATCTGCCTGACGTAAATGGGCAATCTGCTCTTGTGTCAACAGAAATGTACCATGAACGACGTGGTTGCGGTGAGGACGTATGAAAAATCTGCTTGATACCCCAGGCTGTCACCAAGACAAACTCCCTAAACCATTTTATAACGCAATAAAACTTAACTTGTGGTATTTTTGTCTTTTCAGTGGTGAATTACAATACAAGTGTCAAGCTGTGTGATGGCTAACTTTCTTTAAATAACCGAACTGAGAGTTCTTGCAGAGGAACAACTGCTACTAAACCTTTTTTTTTTTTAATTTTGCTCACTTGTCACTTGAGGGTTTTAAGAGAAGCATAATGAGCTCCGAGTGAGAAGTTTTAAAGAAACTGCTAAGCGTCTAACACAATAGACCTCATTTCAAGCACCATCATGGCTTTATCCTGAGCCGGTGATTCCAGGTTCATAGACTGGTGCCAAGACTTGGTTGTGCTAATTTACTAATGGAAGGGATTTGATTTTAGGGGTAAAGCTTCAAATGTGGTTGTGATGTACAAAGACCCTTTTGTTAATCCAGGAAAGCGGTGTGCAGCCCATATGACATAGATTTGGGGTGGTGGGGGTGGTGGTGGTGTGTGAGGCTAAATCCCTGCTTGTGGTTGGTGCTGTGACCGCAGTTCAAAGCAGATCTCTTGCAGTGGTAAAGTGCACATAGTTATTATTATTTTTTTAATTAGTTTTTATTTTGTATATATAATTTTTTTTGATTGGGTGAAAGCATAAATCCTCAAACACTTCCAGGTTGTTGGGGTGGTCCAGTGAAATGTAGCACACGGTTTTGCCTTTTTGTCTAGTGTGTGCATGCGCACAAACCCCTAAAGGATAGTTTTTGTTTGCTTTAAAATGTAGACTTTGAAATGACTTTATCCCCTTAAACACAATCAAAGCATCAGCGTCAAATGGACACAGTAGCCTCATAAGATATTCTATTTATAAAAATTAAAAATAACAATTTTATTAAAACCTTAGCATTTTGTGTAGGTTGGTGTGACTGAAAGCAGAATTGGGTCTGATGATGAATGTTGCCATTAGTTGTGCTCCACATGTGAGGTAGTGGAGACATTCTGGAATAATTTAGTTCAGGGGTGTCAAACTCTTATAAAACGGGGCCAAAATTAAAACCTTTTTTCAAACTAAGGGCCGATTTCAGAAACTACATTAACTCAAGTTAAATGCCCAACATCTTTTCTGGTCAGGTTCCTCAAGAGTTTGGTCTCATTTAACGTTCTTTGTGGTGCATTTGACATCATATTCAAAGCTTACTGAAAAAACTTCAAATGAATATTTTACATTTCTCATCTTGGGGAGGGTGGCAGATAAGATGTCAAAGAAGGCCACATTTAGCCCCTGGGCCTTGAGTTTGACACCTGTGATCTAGATGAAGTGACCAAAAGTATTCCCAAGGAGAGGAGAGTGATGATTTGAACAGACCTGAATGAAAATGTTGGTGAAAGCCAAGTAAGGAAGGATGCCTTAAGAGTAGGCAGCAGTATGCAGGTAGACTACATTTTGAATACCAGAAGGAATCTGAGGGAGAATGGGACTGTAAAGTTATGGCAGGTGAGAGTGTGGCCAAACATCTGAAAGTGTAACAGAATGTTGAGGACATAAAGAATGTGAAGACTTTGGAGGGGAGCTGTTACAGGTTCAGGGCAATAGTTTCCAGATGATGGGGCTACTATGGCAACATTGATTAGAGGGACCGGTAGGGAAGTACTTTTTGTGTCATCTGGACAAAAAAGATAAGTATGATGAGATGTACAAGAGGCTGGACACTAAAGAAGGAGAGAAGAACTTGTATCAACTGGTGAGACGGAGGGATCAGGCTGGAAAGGATGTGCAACAGGTTCGGCTTGTCAAGGATATGTTTTTTGTCATATTTTTGACTTGCAAAAAAAAAAAGCATGCACTAAAAGTACCAAAAAGTGAAAAAGAAATATAGTAAACATGGTAGAATAATATACTGTAGTAAAAAAAAAAACAACTTTGTAGAATGAATAGATAGAAATGTTAATGTTCTAACAAGTGAGGAGAGTGTGATGGGAAGACAGAGGGAGAACTTTGAGGAGCTAATACATGAAGAAACATAAAAGGAAACAAGAGTAGAGGTTATAGAAATTGTGGACCATAAAGTGGGAAAAATAGGATTAGGTTTGGATAGCGATGAAAAGGGGAAGGCAATTGGACCAGAGTAGGTTTGGAAATGTCTAGGAGAAATGGCAGTAAGGTTTTTAACTTGAATATTCAGTGGTATTATTACAAATTACAAAATACCTGAGGAATGAAGAAGCGTGCTGGTGCCCATCTTTAAGAACAAGGGTGATGTACAACAACCACAGGGGAATTAAGTTGATGAGCCACACGATGAAGATCTGGGAGAGCATTGTGGAAGCTAGACTTAGACAAGAAGTGAGTATTTGTGAGCAGCAGTATGGTTTCATACCAAGAAAGAGCACCACAGATGGCATCTTGGCTTTCAGGATGCTGATGGAGAAGTACAGAGGGTCAGAAAGAACTCCATTGTGTCCTTGGATTTAGAAAAAGCACATGACAGGGTGCCGAGAGAGGAGGTGTTGTATTGCATGAGGAAATCTGGAGTGAAAGAGAAGTATGTTAGACTGGTACAGGACATGTATGAGGACAGCAGGACAGTGGTGAGATGTGCTGTAGGAGTGACGGATAACTTCAAGGTGGAGGTGGGAGTGCATCAAGGATCAGCTCTGAGCCCCTTCTTGTTTGCTATAGTGATGGACCAACTAACAGATGAGGCATCTTGTTTTGCACTATTAGTGTTTAGCATATTTCTTAGTTTAGCGTATTCCTTAGTTTATATCTTGGGTCCTTATTACTTTTTCCTTTTACAGTTTATGTTTGCTGCTATTGTTGTATGTAACTGGGACCACGAGTACACAATTTTGTTCCACCTCCTGTACCACATGTGATGCGAATGACAATAAAGAAACTTGAAAAAGAGTTCATGTACGATGGAGTGGATGGAGAAAAGTTTCAGGAGTAATTTGTGATCAAAGTGTGGCAGCAAAAGTCAAAGGAAAGGTTTACAAGACAGTGAAATCTGCTATGCTGTATGGTTTGGAGACCGTGACACTGACAAAAAGACAGGAGAAAGAACTGGAAGTGACAGAAATTAAGACGTTGAGGTTCTCCTTGGAAGCGAAAGGATGGATTAGATTAGGAATCTAAGAGGAAGGCCAAAAAGGAGATATATGGATGCAGTCAGAGAGGACATGAAGGTAGCTAGGATGAGGGCAGAGGCTAGAGTGAGATGGAGGTTGTCTTGTTGTGACCCCTGAAAACAGAAAGAAGTAAAAAGTCAAGGAAGCGCAACATACAGATTTTGAAGATACAGCGGCATCTTGTGGACAACTTAAGTTGTTGCAGTTCAGGTTTGGACTGAACCATTACATGAACCGGGGGGGGGGGGGGGATGTGTGTGTCAAACACTTTCGTGAAACTTATAACACGTGTGTAAATGTACCAATTTAAAATGTATTATGTAATTTATTTGTTTAAAAGTTACCTCGCAAAGTAAATTCTATTTTTCATGTTAGCCACTTTTCTTACGCC